TTTATCCCGTCCGGCGTATCACTAACGCGCGTCGTGCCACCAGGAGGCGCTGTAATAGGAGGACAGCAGATTCCCGGCGGGACGGTCGTCGGGATGGCTATTTTACACGTGCATCAGAGCGCGGAAGTGTGGGGTACGGATGCGCTTGTGTTCCGACCGGAACGGTGGCTGGAGAGCGCGGAGCAAGCAAATGCCCGGAACGGGAAGAGTGAATTGGATCACTGGCTCGTTGCGTTCAGTCGGGGGCCGCGCATGTGCTTTGGTATGAACCTGGCCTGGGCGGAGATGTATATCGCTTTCGCGACTATGATTCGTCATTTTGACTTGACTATTGATGGTACCACGACGGAGGATATGCAATGGCGGGAATGCATTGCGGCGTACTATCCTAACAGGCACTTGCATGCGTGGTGCCGTCCGGTTGTGTCTGGGAAGGTGATGTAAAGGGGTGGGGTTTATATAGCTTGAGGGTATGGGACCCGCACTTGGTGTCCCTAGACAAGCAGGTTATGATTGGGGCTCGTGAAAGTGGAAATCATATTAGAGAGATTGTTGACAGTAAATAGTATTCTACGTACACGAAAAGCGATATTTGCTTTAGGACATAGGCTGTATTTAACGGCTTGACCCGATTCTCCTTGAACGTCAGTCTTGTAGTTTACCTTGGAACCCCCCTAGACATACATGTAGACAACACCCAGGATATGCAATACTATTATCTCTACCTATTAGTTGTGATCTTATGAGATTTATTTCTATCAATCATACTTTCCTTGCACTGGACATTGAGAAAATCTGGGCATGGCCTGATCTTCAACGGATGGCCAACTCTCGTTTTAAGACCGTAGTTTTAATTATTTCCCCACCTTTTTTTTACAGTCTACCTGAGAACGAGAAGAAGCCGAAAACAGAGGACATCTGAAAAGATCACCAAAATGACATGACAGGGCCGCTTATGCGGCCGCCTACTCTTGTATTAAATCTATTAAGTATTTATATACCTCATCATACAGACCTGTATATAACACCCTAGCAAGTGAAGTTATTTTTCGAAGTTTTTTTACTTGCAGAATAAAATATAAGTAAATACTACGATGCCCCGGTTTTCTTTGTCCTGATCAGACCATCAGATCTGTAAGAATTCCGCCCCAGAGAGAACAAAGAGAACAACAACAATAGCCCCCTCCTCTCCCACTCCAAATCTATTCCTTTCCTTCCAACCACTACATTCAAGAGCTTCAAAAATGGCATCGGGACTGTTCATAGATTATCGTAAACTCCTCCTCCTGACCCCACTGGTCACCAGCACGGGGTCCCTCATGTACGCGGGCTGCGAAGCCCTCTTCTACTCCGCCTTCACCCACCCCCCTATCCGGGCACAGTCCAACGCCTTGCTTCCACGCTGGTTCCAGCGCGTCTTCGATCGGAACATCTATCTTCTTGTTGGGTTGAACATGGTTACCATCTCTACGGCGACGGCGATCCTCACCCTACCGAATGTGAGCGAAGTGATTATTTCGAAAGGTAGTCGGAAGATGTTTTTGTCGGGACTGGTCGGGACGTGCGCGCATTTCCTCTTCGCGCCCACTATGCTGGGCATTATTGAGAATATTACGACTGATCGGGCTGGCGATTGTATGGTGGATATGAATCGTTGGTTGAGGGTGCATTATGCTCGGCTTGTTGTCTCCGATTTCCCCGCTTGGTGTGCTTATCTTGGCGCTGTATTGACTACGTTCGCGCTTTGAATTGGGGGATTGTGTGCTAGAGGTTAACGTATGCTATATATCTAGGATAGAGTAACGAGCTAGTGACTGGCTTTCCTTGTCCTATACACGTTCGTTTTGATAATAAGCCAGATGGGTTATGAGCATGACTCGATTTCGGCGCATTCGGCGACTTTGAAGCGCCTATAGCTGTATGCTGGACTAGATAGAGCAGCTAATATGTCGATTATAATCGATAAGTTATTTCGTTAGGTCTAGGGAATCATACGTTATTCTTAGGAAAATATAGAGACACTTAATATGAGCGAGTACGTGACCAACTAGTTACGATGTAAGGCAATAGGTCCTATAACTCTAATTCCGCTCTATAATAGGCCGCGATGATGGAGGCGCTGCCTCTATTTGACGGTATAAATGCTTACGCGGTAACAACTTCGAGCTTTGAAGAACTAACAGGTATAGAGGACTACCGAAGCAGCGAAACCCTAACGATCGTCGAATATAGCTCCTTAAGGCGTCAACTCGTAGAGATCCTATTTTCTATGTAAAGATATTCTATACGAATGGTATTTAACTGACTTATTGTCCGTAATAGAGTCATTCCGCTTAAACATATCCTCGAATAAGCGACTAAAACCTAATCCCCTAATCCCTACCTCGCAGCTACCTTAGCCTTTTACGACCCTCGAATGATTTCTCAGCTCTCGCGCAAATAATCGACTTAATCTAATAGACGGATGCTATCCTATATAAAGCCGAAATCTTCACCTTAATGATCCCGCGCAGCCTCTTCGAGTTAGTCATCCCGAATAACACTACCGACGTGGGCTTTTCGCTCGCCGCTCTACACTATCTCGATCGCGTACCGGCCAGATCACTATATCTAGATACCGGCACCCAACTAACGGATATGCCAAGAACCGCCGGGAGGTCTTTAAAATATAGGCTCGCTAGGACCTACAGACGTTCCTACAGCTCCGCGCCAGGGAATTTAAGCCCACTGCCCCCCTGGTTCTGACATCCGTCGGTGTTCCTCGTCAGGCGTCGAGAACTATACGCCGCTTGTTGAATCATGCAAGGTCGCTATAGGGGGTATGATTCAAGATAGGACGACCCCGGCTCGCGTGTTGGAGTGCTTCGAGGTCCTCGTGTACGATCGCTCGATTTCTGAGGTGCAGGATGTCCTCGAGGTAGAAAGTGAGCGGTGGGCTGTGGAGTCTTACGTCGAGAAGATGGCCCAACACCCGGCTGCTGTGGCTTTGCATGCTCCTGAGGATGATAGTAGTAAGAGGTCTCTGAGCAGTGAAGAGTACGCACGGGTGGTGGTGGAGTGGGAGATGGCTGTTATCGGGGGATATTTTACTAGCGCTGTGGGAAAGGCAATGTGTATCGATTCAGTGCAGCAAGAGAGGCTTTTGGCGGAGTGGACGAGGAGGACGGTGGATGAGTGCTTGAGGTCGTTTAAAGACGCTGTGGTCGAGTGTTGTTTCATTATCGTCAAGTTGAGGAAGCGACTGGAGCCGGGGGTTAGGGCTCGGCCGCGCATAGCTATTCAGAAATATATACCGAGCAGGTATTCAAGCGACATATTCCATCTTTTCAAAGCATACTATTACAAAACCTAGTCAAGTGACCAAATATAAGCACGGAACGTCTCTCAACTATAATCACTCCACGGGTAAGCAGTAAGGTCAAAGTCCGACTGCAACATCTTCCGATTCCTCTCGGTCAACCGGAATCCATCCTCAAGCCACTCATTGCAACAAGCACACTCAGCCGTATAATGACCCTAACCCTTCCTCCTCATCGGATCAGGTGGAATCTCACAACATCTGCACTGACGACCGCAGCATCCACCGCGCCTCGCACAATCCTAGCGCAACCACTCACTCTGGAGATACCGCTGCGGCTGCTTTCGAATCTATAGATATCCACTCTTGATAGGTCCTACGGGACAGCCGGCTAAGAGGGTATCATATATCCGCTCGAGACGCGTGTACTCGTGTTCCATGGATATCAACTCCTCGATGAAGTCCGGCAGAACGAATTTGGCTGCTTCGTCGGAGCCGTAGTGGAATTTATAGATAACTTTCTTGAGGATTTTTCGCTTTGGACGATTTTGCACAGACCCTCTTCGGTTTCGATGATCGACTACGCCCAGCGTGATAGCACGTCCCAGTCTGTCTCCCACCATATATGGCGCTTGCCGTGTATGATTTGCCAGTTGACCCATCTGCCGGAGCTCTCTGCGACGTTTTGTACGGACTCGAGAAAATCCTCGAGTGCTGGGAGTCGCATTTGCTTCACTGGGTTCTTCATCTTGCGTTGCTATTTTGTAAATGTGGATGGGGGGTTCGTTTTGAGGTAACATTTATACATGTACCGAACCGAGATCAGTCACTCATTCGCAAGGCAATCGGATTTCCAATGTACGGGGTAAGGGGGTAACATCGATGCTGCCACTACACTAGCTCTAGACCAGGCTCTGGTCAAAGCTCAAAGATGCCCAGACATTGTTCAGCACGGCGCATCTCCGAATACGCAAATTTTTTGGGGTTGCGGAACGCCTCAGCAATCTTCTTCTGGACCTCAAAGACCTCAACCCTGGACAATGGGGCTCTTTAGACAGTAGCGTTATACCCACTTCTTTTCACTCTTATATTGCTGCATCATGGAATGCTACGAGTTCAACTCTACTCCGCTAGCAATCTCGTCGCTATGCGATGGACTTGACGCCTGCGACTTGGCTCTTCAATGCGTGTATGGCACAGCTATGATGTATGTCTCAGGAGGTAAGTCCCCTTATTAAGAGGCTCTTACTATACGTCGCTTCCCTTTATCTACTCTTATTCTTCTCAGGTAACTAAAGACAAAGAATTAGAATTATAAAGAAATACTAGTTATTAGGCTAGTAGGCTGCGCCAAAACCCACGAAACCCAAAACCCAACCCAATTATGGGCCCCCATTAAACCCATTAAAACCCATTAAATCGTAGTAATTGTCTGCATATGCAGTTGGGAAGGTTATACATTGCCAGGTGTTCCAGAACTAGTGACTACATACATGTGCTGTATTTAAGTACCTTTTTGTATAGAGTTGCCATACAAAAGACACCTAATCCTTACAATTTGCTATCTTATGGGATACGTATATGAGACATCCAAATTGCTTGATATTACTAGTAGGGGACTAGGGGGTCTTTCGTCTATCCCCATTGGTCTCCATTTCTTCGCTTCTTTGCTCCAGCTTTGAATGGCGGGTCTTTACACTAGTTACCAACGCCCTAACTTCATCTCATGAGATCGCTCCAGGCATCGTGCGCCAACATGATAGCACAATTCGCAGGTATCGAAGTCCGCCCCATTACAAGTGTCGCAATGGTAGAAAGCCTCACCCTCCAATACGTCAGCCATGCAAACATCACAATTTTTTATCGTGTCCCTTTGAGAGGTGGGTTCAAGTACTGATTCAACTGTCACTTGAGATTCTGTCTCCGAAAACGGCTTTAGGACTTTCACAACATCAAATCTCTTTCGCACTATAGCATCGGACAGCGCTGTACGACCAAACTCGTCTTGAGCCTCGCAGTCCACGTCGTTGCTTTCGAGTAGCATGAGAACTGATTGTAAATGACCGAGGGTTGCAGCGACATGTAGAGGTGTTCGGCCATATCGATCGGGCTGATGGATGTTCCTGATATTGGTGGAAGTAAAAAGAGCAGCCAGATTGGTATATGCGTTTCCTGAGGCTGCATAGAAAACGACACCGCGACCAAGATTGTCCTCAGTGTCGACATCAGCGCCATGCTTTAGAAGGAGCTGAAGCACTTTTGTATTCTTATGGCTTGCTGCCCAACTTAGTGCGGTTTGACCCGCATGGTCTTTGATTTCTAACTCAACACCATCGCTTTCCAGCAGCGTGACAACTGATTGTAAATGACCGCGGCTTGCAGCAACATGTATTGTTGTTTGGCCATATCGATCGGGTTGATGAATGTTCCTGATCTTGGTCGAAGTAAGAAGAGCAGCCAGATTGGTATATGCGTTTCCCCAGGCTGCATAGAAAACTACACCGCGACCAAGATTGTCCTCAGTGTTAATATCAGAGCCATGCTCTAGGAGGAGCTGAACCACTTCTGTACTCAGACAGGTTGCTGCCCAACTCAGTGCGGTCCGACCCTCGTAGTCTTTGATTTCCAATTCAACACCCCACTTCAGCAGGACTTGTATTGCTGATGTGGCGCCTGACATTGATGCGCAAATAAGTGGTGTCGCACCCGACCAATCCACAATATTGGGGTCGACACCCCTGTCCAGGAGAAACCGAAGTATTTCTCCATTCGAATACCGCACTGCTACGAATATCGAGGCATTCAGTTGGATGTCTTGGGGATCAGCATCCGGATCCCAATCAAGAAAAAGCTGCACCAGATTTAAATGACCCCATCGAGCGGCTTCTAATAATGGGGTGTTACCGTATTTATCTTTCTGGTGTGCGTTAAGCCCTTGCATCAAAAGGAGACGAGCAACCTGGTCTGATCCACCCCTGGCTGAAGCATGAAGTGCCGACTGTCCCCCATCGTTACTGGACATCAAATCACAGTTTGCTTCAAGTAGTAACTGTACTGCTCGTTCATGGCCCCCCCTAGCTGCCAAAAATAGGGGTGTCCTGCCTCGGCTGTCTTTGATGTTTGGATCTGCGCCATGTGCTAGGAGTAAGGTTATAGCATCTAGGAGGTTATGTCGCGCTGCCCATGATAAAGGGGCTTTTCCAACAGAATCCACGCCGTCCACTGAACTGCCAAGTGAAATCAATTTTCGGGTCACATCAGACAATCCAAGATAAGCCGCAAGATGCAGGCCCATAGTTGGATAGCGACGCCTCCCGAATTTCATGTCGAATGAGCAGAATCGGGCATAGTCGATACCAGGCCAAGTAGATAACACAAACTGCATACCCGAGTCGAGTTTCGGTCTGTCTAGCAGTAGCGCAATAATATCTTCATCGCTTATAGGTTGATCCGCGTCCGCTTCGCGCTCTTGGATGTGACTGCCCCAGAAAACAGCTGCATAAGGTCCAAAAGGATAGCGTTCCAGGCGTGATGTGAAAGCTTCCACTGTTTGGCAATGAGTTTTGAAAGTATCGTATGACAAATACGCCATGCAGATGCTGCCAATATCATAATTCGCCTTTGGGAACCAAGTTGATCGATTGCGCTGGAAAAATTCCTGGGTTGTATAATGCACTAGTCGAATGATATTGCTTTGCTCATCGATTGTCACCAAGCCGGCACAAACTGAGACCATGTCAATTAGGTCGGGGACATTATCCTCGTCAAAATCTGACTCGTTTATTTCGACCCCTAGTGCAGTTTGCAGCTCTACTGTAGTGAGCGGTTTCTTAGCACAAGTGATCCACGCGAGGACTTGCATAGCTAATTCTCTTTGATCAGACACCTGTCCCTCAATTCGTTTCATTGCATCGTGATATGCCGAATCGTATTGCTTTGTACCCGATGATATGTCTTTCAACGCGGATCTGATTGCTTTTGGTGATCTTTTCCCGACCAAGGAGTTGAGGTAAAGCTGGGCGAGTAGAAACCTAGGTTCTCGTGTTAGAGAACTGCAAATAATTCTTAAGTATTATTTAGTAAGAGGTAAGTATTCACTCACATCCCATCAACCGCTCTGGTTATCTCCGTCGAAATCTCCGTTTGCAATTCCGGTTTTCGAGAAACAAATGCTGGGAGCATTGGCAAGTTTCCCCGAAGATATCGCATGACATCTGCCGTGCTGGCACGGATTTCAAGCTCGGGCTTTTCCTTGAATTTTTCGGTTATTTCAGGAATAAACCGGGAAGTGGCGAGAAGGTTTATGTTGCAAGCATCCTGAAGTTCGAATATTGCATCCAAGAATCTTGTTCGCGATCCATCATTCATCCGACATTCATCCAAAGCGTCAATCACAACGTAGACCTTCGCAAGGTTGCTCTGTTCTGATAGTAATTGGATGGCCTTGGACAGTTCGCCTATAGAAGGTCTTGTTTCTTTGGCCGTATGCTTAGTATATATCTCTCGGATGCTACTAGGCAACGATGACTGTGACTGAGCGACTTGTTTCAAAAGGCTTGATAACAATCCAGCAGCGCTTTGTTCTTCGTGTCGCATGAAACTGCAGTAGAGATACGCAATAGCAACCTCGCCTCCACTTCCAAGTCGATCGTAGAGCTCATCAACCACGATAGACGCTAGAATGGTTTTCCCGGCACCTGGAATACCAGGACAGAAAAGCGTCTGTTTTGAACCGGATATCCAATCTTTAAACTCGGATGAGTCCAGGAACCACTGTCCAGTACTTTGCTCACGTCGACTAATGTAGTCGCTTTGCTGGGTCGCATAGTTTGACGGCGAGAGCCAATCAAGGACTTTCTGGCGGGCTTCCTCGTCTTGCTGCTGGACCAGTTTTGCCACACTGCGTTTCATTATTTGCCCATTGAATGCAGTCAGGAGTGCGATATTAGTGTTAATTCGAAGGCGGAGTTCTTGGACGTCGCTTGGTTCCCATTTCAGGCGTTTCCACACCCGCTTTGCCATGTTTCGCTTTCCGTCATTTGTTGTCGACAGCTCTGTGTAGTCGTCAATTTTCTTCAAAATGTCGGCAAGGACTTCGTGGCAACCGGTTAATAGTTCGTTTAACTCAGCCTGTTGCTGGCTGTTAAGCTCCTTCGCGGATATGTCGATCTCTACATCTTGCAGTACGAGTGACAGGCTTCTGACTCTGTTTCGACTTTTTAGTACTCCAGATAAGGTAGACAAGATCAAATTTAGGACCGACCTACTCGTCGGAAATGCTCTTGAATTGAACAGGCGCTTCGACAAATGCTTTTCGAGTCTCATTGGCGAGTTTGATAACTGCGAGGAAGTCCCCGATACCAAACCCAAAGCTCATTTTGGCAATCAATAGCGGAACCCAGAGGGCTGGGTGTTAAGGGTCGGGAGCTTGGAAGCGAAAATAAGACGGCGCTGGAGATGTAAGAGAAAGCTCAGCCTCAAAGGCGGGGTTCGGTCGACGGACAGCACGTAATCTGCCCCCGACACTATGAGCCCTGGAGCTGTTTAATTTAGCCCCCTTTTTGGTGGGATAGAAATCCACTATCGTCGTGTCGACCACTGGGTTTGCACGTGCTTCCAAATCTATGATTTCCAGCATCACAAAAGCGTTCAACAAAGGCACCCTCTTTAGGTGCCGCAGCATAATAATCGAAGTATGATATGGTAGAAGGTTGGCTTCGAGGTCGATTGCCGAATGATCTCTGTTTCAATACAGCAACGAACTCCCCAATTGTCAAGAAATCCTCGAGCCGAATGGCCCAGATATTCAAGCACGCCGTCTTCTTTTCGTATGGACCTTGAACTCCCTCATAGACTCATCTGCATAATCCACCCAATGGTCTTCAGCACCAAACCGTTGCTTCAAGTCAGGGTCAATCCAACTGCTTAGCCATGCCCTCACTTGCAGAGTGAGCTGCAACCAAAATGCAAGGTTGCGGTCATTACGAGGAGAAAGATCAGAGTAATAAGAGAAGTACGAATAGTATAAAAGCGCCTAGTTGCATGGGCCATCTAATATACCCACGGGAACAAAGAGAGCACCGACAAAAATGCTTTAGTGTAACCATATATTCGTTAATCGCGCTCTGGAACAAAAAGCATACATGTCTGAAACTCCAAGGTCACAAATAAATCACAAGCAGATTTAGACAGTAACCCTGTTGGCCTTCAAATACTCATAATCAGGCATGGAATCTCTTGTAGCCTTCTCAAGCATCTCGGCAGCCTCATCCCCAAACTCGACACGCCACTTAGCAACCTCCGCATCAATATCAACCGACGCGGGAGCCTTATCCTTCACAACACCAGTCGACTCCTCCAAAGTCGACAGCATGATAGAAGCAGCAGTCTTATGCAACGCCAGCTCCTCAGGATTACCCGGGTCCACATTCGCAGTCGCCCAGTTCTCAGACCTCTTCTCAGAGTCATTCCACTCAAACTGCATAGACGCGGCGTCGAGACCAGCCTTCTCGCAGAACTTCACCACAGCACCAGGGTTATGGATCACATCATTTGCATCGATGACCAAAGGTGTGACAGACTCATCCGGTTGCTCAAGACACCAGTCGAACAACTTCCGCGTCCACTCCATGCTCATATTCGTGACCGACGCACCCCTCATGCCGTCGTCATCAATGAAACCGGCTTTGGACAACTTCTGCATGGCGCGGTACATGGACGGCCAAGCTAGTGCCGGGTGACGGATGATGAAGGCCAAATGCCAGGTGCGCAGGTATTCATCCGGCATGATGGTTTTGTTATTGGCAGAGAATGTCTGCGAGGACCCATAGCGTTCTGGGATGGATACGCGGAACTCCTTCATATTCTCGGGGGTTTCGGCGTCCCTGTTCGTGAAGAAGTACGGGTTCTGGAACCAGAAGGCGTGCTCTTTGGCGAACATTATCTTGTTCTCGGCGCGGGCTCGGGTGGAGTAGTCTTCTAATTTGTCGAAGCACTCTTGCATGATGGCTTTGGTCTCGCTCTTAGCCTCAGCTGGCCATTGGTCTAGCGGCTTGTCGATGCGACCGTCCTTACTGGCTGACATAAAGGCATCGTAGAAGAAGTAGCCGCACTTTGGGTTGGTGAGGACATTTGGTTGGCTGCGGATATTGAGAATCTTCAGGAGAAGATTCGAGGCCGTGCGAGGTACACTGACGAGGAGGACTCGGTGTGGTTGGTCATTATTTCCAGGGGCGGTAATAGCCATGGCGAATGGCGTTTTTGGTTTCTTGGTAGAGCTGATATGTATAGGATGGATGTGGCTGAATGATAATTAAGCTTAACTTGCTGAGATACAATGAGCGTGAGAAGAGATGGCTACATTCTGGAGCCGGATGGCGTGATCTCAAGTTAAATAGATCCGACTTTTCCCTCTTCTGTCCAGGCGCAGGATCAGCTCTCTTCTTTCATCTAAAATTTTTCTGGTCCTCCCCCTTATGCATGTAAGTGGGTCGAATCCTCACATCTGAGTGGTATTTTGGGGATTTTGCCGAGCGGGGGTTACACAGCTGGGATAATTTCCTAATCGGATCGGATGCGGTAACCTCCGATCGGGCTTTGTCGCTGTTTGTCAACACCGAGGAAGCGTCAAGAATGAAGTATCTTTATTGGACGGCAGTAGTGATCGGCAAATGAAGCTGTTACAAAGCTGCAGTGGTACGATGCATGCTTCGCATCTCGGCCTTCGCATCGGAGGATATGACCCGTGAATACCGACGTTAAGTCCGTGATATTTGCCTTTATTATGCGCATATACTTTTTATGCGTGACTGTCATACATATGTACGTGCTGAATGAAGGCGGGGGTGTGGGGAGTGGAGCAATGAGATTTGACGAATTGGAGAACCTTTTTAATTCATAAGGCCAGCCTTGACAGCTCCGATGTCACGAGGGCCTCGAAGACAAACAACTGCGAAATATTAAGAGATGCAACACATGAACCACCGATGACCTGGTATCTCTGACTTCCAAGATTATTTTGCAGAGATACTAAGCAAACACACTAAAGCATACACACAACATATATTAAGCGAAAGCTGATTGTACTCACCGAGGAGAAAAATCAGAATCACTGCTCTCCTCCTCCGCCTTAGCAAGACTCTGCTCCTTCGTGAGTGTCGGGTTGCGAATAACGAGGGCGAAGGCAATCAAGGGCACTGTCAAGCAGATACCCGTGATGCACAGCAGTCGCTGCGTCTTCTGATAGGCCAGAATGACGTTGTCTCGATCGGGCGTACCCACAGGATTTGCCGCTGCAAACTCAAGAGGCTTAGCGTAGACATACGCGGCGAGGGTTTCGTTCCCGAGCCTATAGTTTAGTTCAGAAGGCAGAACTTGGTTCCAGATTGCGCCGGAGATTGTGTTTCCTAGTGCGCTACCGACGTTATAGGCGGCGAGGTAGAGACCAGTTATCACAGCGAGATCTATGAGATTGTTAGTCGTTGACTTGCTTATTTGGTATGCCAAATTCTGTTGAGGAATACTAACGTTCGTGCTTAGATGCGACCTGGATACTGGCTTGAGCCGGGTAAGGGAACATTCCACCAGCTGGAAGATTCGTCAGATACGTTCAACCAACGCTCGAGCGCAGGCGGTAACTCACCAATACCAAGCAGAACTTGCGCACCGATGACACCGGAATGACTGGAGTTCGCAACGCCGCCTCGGAAATAGATGAGAATTCCGAAGGCAACCATGAACAGGAGGGTTCCGGCCACGATGAAGGGCTTCAATTGGCGAACCTTCATGACAATGAGGCCGAGAATAACGCCGGTAATAACCGAAACGAAACTGTAAAGCTGCGTGATCCGAGTGGCACTCAGGTTTGATTCGCCGAAGCTCACGTAGAGCACTGTGTATAGGAAATCTCCTTGCAGGTACCACGCTATACAAATGTTAAATCTCGACCATGGATGGATAGTATTCTGAAGGACGTACCGGTGTTGAGCATAATAGGGATTCCAAGAGCACCCCAAACAGCACGGTCTTTGAGAAGCTAGAGCCGAAGCGAGTCAGTAAGAATCATGAATGTGCGTTTAATCATTTCACTTACCTTGAATGGAAGCATCGGGTATTGGCAGGTTCTCTCCCAGACAATCCAGACCGGGATCAGCAAAACGCCAACGACAAGTGGCGCAATTACCTTTGCTGTCTTCCACTGTGCAGTTACGCCTCCAGCGAGGGTAAATGGAACAAGAATACATGCCAGCATGGCAATCAACAGAATGTTGCCGACGATGTCCAGGTGCCAGAATAGTTCTACAGCCAGTTGCTTTTTGCCAAGCAGCTGGAGAGAGCTCTTGTAAGATTCAAGTGCCCCAGCCTTCTTCGCGCGTCGGTGGACGACAAAAAGGACTACAATAAGAGGGATAGCGCACACGGGATAGATGATAGCAAACATGCCAATGCCCCATTGCCATGTGGTAGCCTTAAGAACCGCATCGGTCACATTGCCGCTAATCCAGGTATTTATCTAAGAAACATTCAGTAAGTCAATATGTTGTACTTGGCATGTGGGAGTACGTTTAGGACTCACAATAAACGGCATGGCCGGGACGTAGGAGAAAAAAAGACGAGATCGGCTAGAAGTCACATCGGCAATCAGCACTTCGGCCAGAAGCATAATGCTGGTGTATCCAATCTACACAATATTAGAAATAGATAAATAGTTCGTTGATGGGTTCATATCTCACCTGATAGATCACAGCTCCCGCAGCGAAACCCGACAAAGTCACCGCGCATGATTCCACGATGGTGCCCACAGTATAGAAGAGGATCGAGACAAGGATAAGTTCCACTCTGCCGAATACATCTGCCACCTTTGCTGCAGTAGGCTGCGAAGGGAAGGTCAGCCGGGGTTGATGGATTGTTGGCCTCTGGATATCCGTACCTGTGCGGCAGCAGCGATTACGGCTCGGAGAACATTGATGGTCGCAAGAAGACTGTGTTGGCCGTAATGCTGAGTAGCATAGGGCTTTCCAACACATGAGGTGTTAGTATGCTACTGACGTCAGAACTGCCGACTGCGGATACGTACCTGATATGTGTAACGAGCAGTGCCATCCAAGCCGTACACATAGGCGATCAAGAAAACAGCAAGAAAGAGGAAGACCCGATCCCAGAATCGGAAGTGCGATGTAATAATTTCGATACGACGAACACCGGGACTCCCCTTACCCATCAGACTGGCAGGCTCACCAAGTGGGACGGCTTCATTGCGAGGGTTCTTCGACTCCCCACTGACGCGGTCAACGTTGACCTCATTAGTGAGCGACATGGTAATCGTGCAGAATGAGATCTTCCGACTCAGATGACCTAGGATGTAGAGAGGAAGAAAAACATCCGGGAAGACACCAGAGGAAATATGATTGCCAAGAGATGAAAAAGTCTGATAAAAACCGCTCACTCAATCTTATCTGATGGGCCTGTGACCGTGCCGAGACGCGCTAGGAGCGTTTGTCTGAGAAAAGCAGCCACTCAAACAGCTTAGATGAGCCCCCACCTCGCATCCGGCCATGGTTCAAAATTATTATTTGGCACAGGTCTCGCTCTAGACTTCCCTAGTGTCAATTAGAGCCCTCAATGGGCAGACCCGTGCAGAGTGTATCGGATGACTTCCTATTCTAGCATAGTCGAACTCCGGATCTGTATTTGAACGTGCACAAGAGCTCCTGAGCAAAGATTGCCATAATATGTTGTCATAAGGTCATGGCTGTATCTCGTAAATACTACGTGTTGAAAAAGAACATTGTTGAGCCAAGCGTGCAACAAATCGGAAAAAGAAAGCGATCAATCCCTAATCTCGGGGATCACGGGCCCCGGGTGACTCCATTACGTAATGATGCCCCACCTACATGCAGCCCGGGGCCGAACCTGCCCACACACCACATGGCCGTCCACTCAATCTTGGCCCGACGCGTCTACCGCACGCAGTCAGTTGAGCCGCTATCAAAGATTCAGCCTAATTCACCTCCAATTGAACTGTCCTGACCAGACATTCTGCAACTATGGTTGCACCTTCGTCAATTTTTGCACTGGAGCTTTGATTGATGATCTTTCAGTATCTTCGCGACGAAGAAAGCCCACAACACATCAGCAGGCTGGCACAGACTTGCAATTTTTTTCATCAAGAACTTAGTCATGTTATATACAGGCCTGTGCGACTAAGGCGGGTGGAGAATGCTCGCCATTTCGCCAATACCATCCCCGGTCGCCCAGACTTGGCAGCACTTGTCAAGGAAGTGTGACATTCCCGGGATGTGGGCTTTGCCGACTTTGCTGGCTACTCTAAACCTTTCTAGAAGCGCTCACCAAGTTGCAAAACCTGCAAACACTGATCATAAGAGAAGACCTTCGCCCAAGTGACGAGTACACGCCACAAGCTGCACTACAGAAAGTGCTTACCGATATTTACTACCGGACCGACGGCTCACGCATGACAAAGCCATGTTTTGAAGATCTGGGGGATCTTATGGTGGAAATGCGCGATCAAGGGTTCCCTCTGGGTGATGAGTCGGATCCCTTCGGCATTGGGGTTCATCCGATGGGAGGCAAACTTTCGCTCCAATGTTGGGCGGAAGATCTGGTCCAGTACACATATTTTAGCCAAGAGCACCTCAAAGACTTAATCCCCGCATTACGAACATGTAAGTTGCCGAATCTCGGGGTTTGTCGCATATCTATTCTTACAAAGTAACAGGTCATATTGGAACTGATTCGGATCTTGACCCTAAGTGCACGGACAGGTATCGGCCTTCTATCGAGTTTAATGAGACGATTTTCACATTGACCCATTTGAGAAAACTCTGCATCACAGGTGTTACGTTTCGAGGGTCCGGATTGCACGCAGCATCAATTGACAATCGTGCCGCGGGGCTAAGAGAGTTGCTACTTCTCAACTATCGGGTCTCCGCTGAAGATCTCGCGCTCATCGTTTGATTCCCACGTGCCTTGGAACGGCTTACAATCAGAGTTCCTGTGTCATTGAAATTCCAGTATGAGCAAGACAATTACATGCCCTTTTCCGATGAATTGAGCTTTCGGCATGCTGAATCCTTGGAGTACTGGGATTCGACATTTACGGGGGTGCGGGCGCAGATTTCGGCCTTACGCTGGATTTCTTTGACGTTCTCAAGGAAATTGTAATCACATCTCACTCAGTGCTTGGGAATCCTGTGAGAGAGATGATCATGACACGTAGTCTCCAGAGACTTACTATCCGATACGAGGAAGGCACTGGTCTACCACTGAACTCTATCCTCGGAGAACTCGAGGCCGAAGAATTTCCCAATCTGCGCTCTGTGATATTCCAGATACCCGACAATATCTGCGAAATTACAAGCAGCTCGGAGGTACTCGTCGAAGCTGAGGCTTTCAAATCCCAATTCAAAGATTTCGGCGTGGAGTTATCAACAGAACTCGTTCCATATCCTCTGACCATGCCGAAATATGATGTCTGTCCGTGTGAGAACTTGACCATCTACCATCAATTCCCCTTCTATCCCCGTGCCAAACCTCGCCCAAAAAACGTGTAGGCTGCCAACACAACAGGTCACAGCAACCCTGCACCGATCCCCATCGATTACATGTATGAGTCTGGCCCATATGACGGTGACTATCCTTACTTGTATGACATGAGCCCGCCTTCTCCTTCCCGAATGCTGCTTTCACGGATTACGATGACTATCTCGACTGGGCGTACGAGCGTTGGGTAGGATAAATCTACGTCTCCCCTTTCAGGGCGTTTGTTATCATGCCTTTCACGGTGCCTGTTTGTTTATTTATGCTGTATTCTCTCTGAAAAATAACCGGAAACATATATCCGTGTAGCACTCCCATGGGGATTGGTGCTGGCCGGCTGGCGACCTGAGGTTGCCTACCTCTAATGTCTATCTATGATCTCCTTGATGGGGTTTTTAGTATTAATTGGAAACCATGCCTGTTGTAAAAAAAAAGAGGAAAAATTCACAGATAATATTGCAGGGCATTTAGGCTTGTATATATAAGACATGTATCATTATCAAAGTCGTGACCTGAACGTAGCTTCTGGTCCAATCGCCGAAGGCAAGCTATCCTGGTTGAGACGATTCATCTCGGGGTCGTGAAGCGACTCTGTCTCGACAGTCGCCCTGATGCGTTTCCCGAAATACTCGATCTCCACTGTCTCGCCTTCGCGCACACCCCCAGGAAGCCAGGCGTACGCAATCGGCTTACCGATCGTGTACCCAAATGCAGCGGTGGTAACATAGCCAGCCGCTTTGCCATTGTAGAACACGGGCTCCTTACCAAGAACCATCGAGCGACCATCATCAACAGTCAAAGCCCGAAGTCGTCGCGAAGGCACTTGCTTAGAAAGGCGTTGAAGGGCAGCTTTGCCAACGAAGTCGTCTTTCTTGTTTGAGTCAATGGCATAGGAAACGCCAGCTTCGAACGGATTGTGCTCGGTCGTCATATCCACGCCGTAGGTCCGGTATCCCTTCTCGAGACGCATTGAGTTGAACGCACTGCGACCTCCAGCAATGAGTCCGTGCAGCTTTCCAGCTTGCCAGATTGTGTCCCATAGGCGTTGCCCGTACTCGGCGCTGGTTTGGATTTCCCAGCCTAGTTCGCCGACGTAGGACTTTCGGATCAATGTCACCGGGATACCCCGAATAACTGTTTGCTTCAGACTGAAGTAGGGAAGTCCCTTGTTGGAAACGTCGACCGTACTGATTCCAGCGATGACATCCCGGGCTCGAGGACCCCATAGCCCAATACAACATGTGCTGCCTGTGATATCGCTGACTTGGATCCATTGTCCGGGGGTGTTCTGTTCCTGGACTCGAGCTTCTCTGGTAAGATACGCTAGGTCTGTTGCAGTGTTCGCTCCAATCTGGAAAACATCATCGTCAAGTCGCAGAACAAAGATATCACCCCGAATGCCACCCTGATCATTCAGGAGGAGAGTATAAGTAACGGTGCCTGGCTTGGTGGTCATGTCACTCGTGGTCAGCCGCTGCAGCAGACCGATTGCTCCAGGACCGCGGACGTCGAACCGATGGAAAGCAGTCATGTCGAACATAGCAACAGCATTCCGCGTCTTCCAGGCCTCGGCAGCAGAAATAGGCGAGTGAAGCTGTGCCGACCAGGGATCCCGTTCAACAGGCTGCCATGATGGCGGGAGAGACTTGACAAGATCTTTGTTTGCCTCGTACCACCACGGCCGCTCCCAGCCTCCAGTCTCGAGGAAGAAAGCCCCCAGCTCCAGCTGGCGGGAGTAGAATGGACTAACACGCAAATTGCGGGGCGACACCCGCTGCTGAAGCGGGTGGATAATGTCATATATTTCGACGAAGTTCTGCTGTCCAGTCTCGCTCACGTAGTCTCGATTGAGTTGGACTTCTTCGAAGCGGGATAGCTCACACTCAGACACGTCGATGTCCGATCGGCCGGTTGTGAGTATTTGGGCGAGAGCTCGGGCGACGCCTGCGGAGTGTGTAACCCATACGGCTTCGGCTACGTAGAAGCCGTCGAGATGGGATGGTTGGCCGAGGAGTGGGCCGCCATCTGGTGTAAAGGAAAAGACGCCGTTGAAGCCATCCGCGATCTCTGTGTCCTGAAGAGCGGGAAGGAGCTTTTGCGACTCTTTCCAAGCTGGGTCGAAGTCTTCGGTTGTGAAATCGAGGCGGGAGGGCATGTTTTGTTCATCGACATCTTTAGGAGTGAGCCCTAGTGATGCTGCAACGACGGGCATTGGACGGTGTCCGTAGTATCCAATGCCGTACTGTCCGCCGTGTTCACGGTAGTAAAGACGCTTATCCTGGTGCCGGAGGATTGGGAGTGTGGCGTTCATTCCATTGATCTTATTGTTGAGATCTCGCCCAGCGAGAGCGGGCACGGCGGTGGTCTTTGCATACTGGTGCGCCAGCGGGAGCAAAGGAATATCCACACCGACCATGGCTCCCAATTCAACACCCCAGAATCCAGCGCAAGAGACGACAATGTCTGCCGGGATAGTGCCACTTGGAGTACTGACTCCGGTGACACGACGGCCGTCCCGCTCAATCCCTGTAACGGGCGTATGGCCTAGGTAACGAACACCGGCCTTGCTGGTCCGTTCAATGAGCAGCTGTGTTGCCCGGGCTGCCAGTGCGAGACCGTCACTGGGGATATGCAGACCACCCAACACCATCTCGTTGTTCAAATGAGGATACATCTTGAAGCACTCCTCGGCACTCACTAGCCGGGCCTCGATGCCCCATGACGAGGCGTATCCATGTTTGCGCTTCAGATCCTCCAGTCGTGCGGGGGTAGTCGCTACTTCGAGACCGCCCACCTGATTGAAGCATTTGTGTCCATCCTTCTCTATCGATAGAAGCTTCTCAACTGTGTATCGCGCGAGATGTGTCATTGTCTTCGAGGGGCTTGTCTGGAATACGAGTCCGGGGGCGTGTGACGTCGATCCGCCCGGCATCTGCAACGGACCCTGCTCGACGACAGTGATATCGTTCCATCCTCGAGAGACCAGCTCGTCGGCGAGGTTGGTACCTACGATACCGGCTCCAATGATGACAACGCGTTGCGAAAGGGACATTATTATAGGATAGTTGATATGATACGCCCATCAGAAAGTGGCAGGCACCTGTTCTATTTGTATATTCCCATGCTTGGATGAGTCGTACAATGTGTGACATTATCGTACATATCGCCCCGCACCCCGCATCGGTGTGCGATAATTATAAGCTGTATCTTGAAGCTATAGATAAAGATATTACGCCCCGCACGGGTTCCGGCGATGTAATGCCGAGAATGCCAGTAAAGAACACGGGTGCCATTTCACAGCAATCAGGATGGAGGGGTATGTCCTTGGCTGACCCACGTTGGTAGAGATAATGCTGGTCAGGTCAATCATGGTCGGCCAACCAGCTTAATGTGGCGCTTTTGATTTGACGATGGAAAACAATACCGTTTCGGGTTACGGGTCCTAATTTTAGTATGAGCGGCAACAGACACCAGCTCGGAGCGGAAAATCAAACCATCCGTATCATTCTGTATTTTGTACTAAGGAGACTCCAACGAAACACATATATTGTACATATACGTCCTACCTTTAAATCGAAGGCTACTACATCTGACATCTATCTCGAGGCTCCGTAGTAGTTGTAGTTGATGTGGGAACTTCAGTGTAAAATATAACGTCTACGGGACAACCTTGAATAAACAGCATAGTAAGTAAGAACAGGTTTGAATATAACTATACACTGATTTAGCTCTTCTGCACAGCCTTGTATTGAATTTAAGCTTATCAGCATGAGGCTCCTCAACGGTGCTACCAAGACACTGCATTGGATCGGATAACACACGTTGGATTTAAGCAACAGCATCCAAGCTTCCAGGGCCTAATATATCTGCATTAGATTTGAGCTAGCTACTTGTAGTAAGGAATATAGTTGATCGTGCAATACATTGTTGGTCGTGAAGGATTGTCATTGGCAGCATATTCCAACATCATGGAGGAAAATGATGCAATCGCCATTCTATGGCCTCTGATTGGTCAATGTGGGAATGGCTGCAGGGGCATTTTTGATGGAGGCGTAGAAGTATACAAATCGGTTGTATATAGTTTCAGATGTGAGATATATTGTCAACTTCTTCATCTGTGTTCTATATATCATTATGATACCAAATGGCATCCCCAATGTGCAAGTTAACCCCAGAATCTGCGGGGCAAACGTTTGATGTTCGGTCGCAGCCGATCCGTGGGGATCCTAACAAGAAACAATCCCTGTCTTCAGGACTTTCACTCTTTCCTAAGAGGAACTCCTCAGTTCGAGGACACCCAGCAATGCTATCGTTCGCATCTTTCGTCCATCTCTCATCATGACTGAGCCCAGTCAACCCCCTGTTCCCGAGGAACCGCCCAACGCAATCCTGACCGACTCCCGCCCGACTTCCCCTCG